TGCAATTTAACAAGTATTGATTGCTTTTCTTCGTGCAGGTGAGGTTCAAGTTCCGGCATCCCGGCGCCACGAAGGCTCAGTTGGATCGGTCGGGGGATCCTGGTGCTCTTGCCAGGCAGGCGCGGGTTGTACAGCGCTGGATCAACAGCAGTGACGTCACTCGCACGGACGACTGCCTTGGGATCGGCAAGGTCTGCATCGTTGGTTGGAAGGATATTCCACAGGAGGAGCTGGTTGCAGACGAGCATGGTGACCTTGGTCTGGATATGCTAGTGAGCGAGCCAGGCTCGCAGGAGCGGGTTTATGATGAGAATGAAGAGCAGGAGGAGCTTTACGGGTGACCTGTAGTACCTGTGCTAGCTTAGGGCTGTTTTTGTAGGTGTAGATGAGTTTGTAGCTAATGGTAGTTCTTGTATTTGTATCTATGTAAGCTTTTGACCTTTTTAGTGTATTGTCTTCTCTATTTGTTATAATGTAGAATTGTAGGCTGTACTGAATTTCTAAAAATATCGGTAATTGTTTAGTCACTATCTCTTTGTTTTGCTAGTTTACTGTATCTTACTGTACCTATTGACATTAATGTTTTCGAAACTCGCTGTGTTCATCCCTCCTTAGTATCAAGTTTTAAATAACGGGGAAACAAATGCAGGATAAAATGAACGAGTCCGAAAGACTGATAACGAGTTTCCTCTTCTAAACGAGTGCGCGTCGGAATGTATTTGGACGGTCCAGCAGCCAATAGAAACAAAGTTGCAACAAATCGTCACGCGCCAGGTGTCCTGTGCGTGTTCGCTCAAATTTCCCGAACCAACTCGGAGGGCTTGGGAGAAATTCTCTGCACCAGTCGATCTCTACTTGTCAGATGTATCGGAAACCAATCGCAATTCGCGGGAAAACGCCAGGAGTCGAAAACCACTCGGCAACAACTCGTTCCCAACAAGTTTCCCACACCCCCCAAATTGGCGATGGGAGCTTTCCAGCCATTAGAGTAAATCCGTCACTGAGATGGATGTTTCGAGGAGATTTGCACAGCATGAACTGAAAGCTCTGACTTTACATCTCAATGATGCTTCCGAGGTGCTAATGAGTAAGCGCTCACTGCGAGAGTCGGGTCCGTGTGTCATATGTAACTGTGTTAGCAGGATACCAAGCATGGATTTGCGTCTGCCATTCTGCGCTCTTATAGTAGCGTGACGGGGTCCCCATGGTACATTCCTCCTCGCCATGGTGCCACCATTGTGGCATGCGACGTCGAGGCTTGGGAGGTCATGCAATAATTCTCACCCGTAGCGGGTTCCAATAATTGTATGTATTGTACCCTTCATAGCTGCTATAATTGTGGCGGAGTTCTGTGTTTTCACATGCGGTGCGGACTTCCTCCATCCCATCGAAGGCCAGTCAGCAAATGCCATCGAATAGCACATGCCATCGAAGGGCAGTCAGCAAAAGCGGTGCGATGTTCTCACATTTGACTTGTGGCGTATGGTTGGATTTGTTCCGAGTCTCCGATCAACCAAAGTCAGAGCAGCCTCAACAGATTCGCTTGGCTAGGTTGGGAATGACTGCGAAAAGCAGAAAGGGGTGGAGTAACACTGCGGACCAGCTCGCGACGGACGAGTGTGGGTGGCAACTGTTACGGAACTCAGTATCCGAACTTTGATTACATAATGATCATAGTGATGAAAGCTTACGCAAAAAAAAGGATTCAATTTTGGCCATGCTCGTCGATACGCTACGGAACAATTTCATTTTTCAGATGCTGTTTGGGCGCGCATATGGCGAGCTTGATATGATAAATAAATATTCCCAATCAAATATTGCGAGCTTATACTCGACCATCAATCTCCACACTAGGCTTACCTACTATATGCCGTCAACAATATAATCTGTGGAGATTAACTCTACAACGGTAGTGAGCTAGACTACAGGGGTTGGCACGAACTACTAGAGGTGATCTTAGCTTTGCTTAGTTCCTTAGTGTTTGCACATTCACGGAAGAATTTGGCAAGTTGGAATTCCAGAATAATCAAGAAGCAATGACAACAATGACTACATCAGGTACCTAGAAATCCGTAGCTCGGTCGACCGCCTGCCAGCATTGCGTAGAGGAGCCGCGCCAGCACTGCAGAAGGGCGACCTGCCAACAAAGCAGGTCGACGGCGTGCCCCGTAGAACACAGCAGTGCGCGCGCTCACAGGTGTGCGCAGACGATTGGCCCGACTTGCCTCGTTGGGCATCCGTCGGCTGTTTGTCTGCGCCTGACGAGCCACATCGACTTCGGGATACCAGCCCGAAGTTGCCTGCGCCATCGCGATCTCGACGACGTTCGCGTGCCTCCGCAGAACTCGTCGAGCAGGTTACCCGGTCGACCTGGTCGACCCCTGGTGCTCTGGTCGACTCCCAGGTGCCTCCCGTCGACCACTGGGTCCCTCTGGTCGACCACCGGGCGCTCCTGGTCGACCACACCTCCCGTCAAGCTACCCCTTGGTCGACGGACCCCTTCCGTCGACCAGAACTGCTCTGTCGACCTCTCGGTCGAACTGTAGGTCGACGGACTGCTTCGTCGACCTCCCGGACGGCTCACCCGTCGCCCAGGCCAGTCAGGTGCAGCTGTCGAGCATCCTGGTCGACAGCAACACCACAGTGGTCCGCTGCAGCTCGACGTAACCTGTCGAGCAGCTATCCCACTGTGAGCAGTCGGCTGCTACTTCCGTACATCCGACCAAGTTGTCGGCGTTGCCCAAGCGAGGGCGGGGCCAACACTTCATTCCCGTTAACATAATCAACTCGTGATTATATGGGCCAATTCTTTCTTAGGCAAACTACACTGTACATGTCAACTAAATGTTCGCAGGATACAATATATTCACACCTAAACTCTCATGTTGAGGATGCCTAGGCGCCGGTTAGCTTCTTTCACAGATGTCACCACCTTTTCGGTGTCTGCGGTGCACTTGTCGAGAGCTTCTACTTGCCTGATGGGAAAGGGGTGGAGAAGGGGTACATGCAAAATGAACATGGTAGTAGGATATATGATCGTGCATCGTCGATGGAAAAGGCAGATGGGGAAGTTGCTTGCCATTGGCAAAAGACAAAACCATTCGTTGCATGTACTACCCATTTTTTTCTTGAAGCCGAGGGCCAGCGCAAATGAGAGGAGAAACTGTGGCTTGGTGCATACCAGTCAATCTTGCTCCCCATGTGGTCGGCCATTGTCCTTAGCGTGGTGAGAGAAGCACTAACTTGATCGAGAACTTTATCGTGGTAGAGCTGTTCTGCCTGTATCCCGATAAAAAAGAGAAGGGAAGAAAAAAAGGAGATATTATGCAGGTTTTTACCATAGATGAAAGCTAGAGTTGTCGCACCAAGGTAAGCGTTCAAATAAGGAAGAAAGAAATAAAGAAAAAATCTCACTAACCTTGACAACTTCAAGTGGGGTCAGCCCATCCCTTGTGGGCCTTGGCGCGGATAGAATGCAACCACCTTCAGCCACGGAACCTCCGCTTAGGGTTTGCCCTTTCCCTGGCCTCTTGCTTAACCCGAGAGCAGAGCGGTTGGCTGTTTCAGCGCATGCTCTCTGGTCAACGGGGTCAGAGGGAGCAATGCTGCCAATAACGCTCGAATGGGAGGTGCTAGGCCCCTTGATCCTTTTCCCATGGTTGAACCTCCAACATAGCTTCTTAATCCCACCAAGCTTCGCAATTAGCGTTTCAGACTGCAAGAAGAAGAAGAAAAAGAGTGAGATTAGAGCCAGAGGTTGTGTGTAACACCACCATGGGGAAACCAATGTTCTCCGTGTTCATTGAGTTTCCTTAAAAATATTTGAGTCTCACTTCAGCATTGTATCAATGTTTCAAAATTCTTGACTCACCTTTTCCATTTCCTGATCAGCCACAAGAGCTTTCTCGTGGATGCGTTGAACCCGGTCGTCCTGAATCGTCAAGGCCTCGAGGGTCGCTCCAGCCACGCTTTTAGTCGTCTCTGTGATCCTCAGCAGCCCTTCCGTCGCTGACGTGAGCGCGTCGCTTTTCTCCAAAGCCTCAGTTTCTAGGTCTCGGATGGACGCATTCTGAAATCTATTCCTTTCCGTCTCAGCTGACCCGTTATAAGAGCTAGCTCCGCTGACGTGCTGACGAACGCATTCTTGATGCCCCTGCTCTGCTCCCTTAATCGGCGAGTGCTGCTTGAGACCTACGTTTACTTTTCTTTGAGAGACAGGAACCCAGCGAGCTGAGGTGAAACCGTCGTCACCATCGTCGTCCACAACAAACCTGCGATTCATTCCGCCCATGGTCGTTTTGCACAAAACTCAAAATAGTGAACTGCAGCAGATCAGGAATTGCACAGCAGTAATGGATGAATGATTGAAGCGTTTCTGGTAGCCAAGCCAGTGAGGAAGTTGTAATGACGGTGACTGCCTGTTGGGTTTGGTATTTGTTCAGTGTTGGCATCAGGGCGCGCAGTCCCCCCCACCACCACACCACACCGCCCAGGAAAAATGTTGGAAGGAGCGGTTTAGGAATTGCGTGCGGGGCAGGATTCTGCTATGTCGCAATGCGCTCTGGTTGTCCTCTGCAAGACTCCGTTGACCCCAAGTTCGACTCGATAAATATCGAGTCGCGCGCGTCGTGGGAGAGGATTTTGTCTTGGGTTTGGTGCAACACGCCATCGCATTCTTCGTGGTCGTTACAAGTCTCGTCCGACCTGTAATTTCATTCACCTCACCAGTGTTTCCGAACTTGTAACGGTAGCCACGATGTGAGATCCAAAAAGAGCTTTAGCCAAACAAGTTTCTTGATTTTTCTCAAATAAGTCCACCCTTAACCAGGACTTAAGGTGCCTTGTTCTTTCTAGTTGAAGGATAAGCTGGCACGCTTAGCTGTAGCTAGATAAGGATGTAAGGTCAAAATTGGACAAAGCAACACACCTGTTTGTAAGTAGCAATAATGATTCTACATACCATGATTGCTCCCTGACTACGCTTGAACCACCGTGCCGTATTAAGACAAACCAATGATATTGCCAGTAGCCGTGTCGATATCAATGTCGTAGAAGCAAGGCCTGGTTGGCAAGCCAGGCATGGTGCTCATGGTGCCCACAAGAGGGAAAATGAAGCCCGCTCCAACGCTCGCCCTCACATCCCGGATGGGGAGGATGAAGCCAGAAGGGGCTCCCTTGAGAGAAGCATCATGGGAGAAGGAGTACTGCGTTTTGGCCATGCATACGGTATGGGAAGATTAGCAAACCCTTGCTTCGTGTACTGCTCTATCTTCGCCTCCGCCTGGGAAGAGAAGGGGTGGCGTCTGCTGCCGCCCAGAAGGGGTTGGCTTTCAGCCGCGCGAGTCTGTTCCTCCAATGGTCACGATGCTGCAAGGGCCAAGGGCGCAGAACAGAACACAAGCAGCAGGTGCAGAGTGAGAATTAATGATTTGAGGCTCAGCAGGTCCTCCCAGCAGCAGGTCCAGCAGGGCGAGCAGCGCTCCCTCAGTGGCCGGTGCGTCTGCTGCCGCCAAGAAAGGACTGGCCTTGAGGCTGTTCCTGCAATAATCGCGCTGCTGCAAGCCAGGACGTGTTGGGGTTGGGGCTTAACATGGTGACATTGGGTGTGCATCGCGGTCTAAGGCGGCAGGTCCAGCAGGGTCAGCAGCGCTCTCTCGGTGGCCGGCGCATCTGCCGCTGCCCAGAAAGGCGAGCAACGCGATTCCTCCAATGGTCACGATGCTGCAAGGTGTGAGAGGGGTGAGAAGGATAAGAGGGGTTTTAGGTGTAAGAATGGGAGGGTGGGTGGGTGGGGGAAAGAGGGGGGGTAGGTCAGGTCAGGTCAGGTTGGGTTTGAAGCTGGAACCATCTGCTTGTCTCCGGATTGAACGAGCAAGGGCAACGACAACACTGACAAGCCACGTGGGTAATGGCAAGAAGACTCAAGAACCACGCTGACACAACTCTGGGCTCACCCTGTAATACGCCGACACCTCAGCAGCATCGCGCGCCGCCATTGGCTCGAGCGGCATGGGCATCTCCGCCAGCAGCACTGCCACGGCCTCTACCAGCCCATTCTCCGCCTCTCTCTGCACCACCTGATCCTCACGATAGGACGAGTGCTGGCGGAGCAGAGCCGTCTGGGAGCAGGGGAAGGGGAGGTGGGGAAGTGGGAAGGGAGTGGGTGAAGAGGGAAAGGAGAGGGTGTGCCTGGGCATCTCCGGCCAGCAGCACTGCCACTGCTTCTACCAGCCCGCTCTCCGCTTCTCGTTGGATAACCTGATCCTCTCGATACGATGAGTGCAGACAAAGTAGGGCCGTCTAGGAGCAAGTGCAGGGGGAAGAGTTGGGGAGGGGATGGGATGGAATAAGGTGGGTGGTACGGGGAAAGAGCATCAGCAGCACGGCCTCCACCCGCCCGTTCTCAGCTTCTCATTGGATGACCTGATCCTTGCGACAGGATGAGTGCAGGCGGAGCAGAGCAGTTTGGGAGCAGGGGAAGCGGAGGTGGGGAAGTGGGATGGGGGGCGGGTGGTTTGGTATTTCTGCCAGCAGCAGCACTGCCACGGCCTCCACCAGCCCGTTTTTTGAGGCGCCTCAAAAGTCCTCTCCTCCACCAGCCCGTTTTTTGAGGCGCCTCAAAAGTCCTCTCCTCCACCAGCCCGTTGTCTGCTTCTCTCTGAACCATCTGAGCAAGTGCATTCTATGGAAAGCTGTGCGCGCACTTGTGCAAATACTGATGAGGCGCCTCACAAGTGGAAACTACTGACTGCCCTGGCAACCGGAACCAAAAGAAAGGTGTAGTTTTTTTAATAGGAAAAAGGGCTTCAAAGAAGAACAGAAGAAAAGACAACATACCGCTGTGTCTCTCCGGCCAATCGCAGCGCAGGAAGCCACAGCCGGCCAATAGGGCTCAAGAACCTCTGGAGGTATGGCCTGGTGGGAGATGGGAGATGACAAGAGGGGCAGGGAGGGAGAAGAGAAGAGGGGGGGGGAGCAGCGAAGAGAGGAGGGAGAGGAGGGGGGAAAGAGGAGGGAGAGTAAGGGAGGAAGAGGACCGGAGAGGAGGGAAAACGGAAAGCATGTCAAGGGATTAAAAGATCAGCAACGAAAATGAGATAAGGGTGGGAAGAACAGGAAGCGGATGGGAAGAGGGGTAGTTAACGGGTGAGAACAGGGTGGGAAGAGGGAGGGGACAGGATACATGAAACTCTAGAACAACCACCCGCTCACCTCTGATTGGCTCATCTGATCCCGCAAGGACCGGAGGCAGGCTGACGTGGACGTGTTGCAAGGAGGTAGCGACGCGTTGTATTGCTCTTGGGAGAGGGTTGGTGGGGAAGGGGAGGGGTGTGTGGGGAGGGATGAGGGGATGGACAGGAAGCAAGGGAGTGTGGAAGCAAAAAACAGGGAAGGAAAGTTGGGTTAAGCCTACAAGTCAAACAAATTTGCTGCACGAGATGGCTGGGTGGGATTAGTTAAGGTTTATATGGCCAGGTGTGGTTGGTTAGGGTTGTGGGGAGGAGAAGATGGGTTGCGGAGAAGGAGGGGGGAGACGAATATTGCAACAAGGAGAGATGAAAAGAGAGGAACAACGTCGAATAGGGCAAAGAAAAGGAAAATGGAGGAGAAAAGGACAAGGAGAGAATATAAGTGCAAGAGAAGAGAAGAAAATGGTGGTTCCACTGAGATCAAAGAAGTTCCTGGAGAAAGAGAAGTGGGGGTGTGGGTAGGGAAGGGGGGGGGGGTGAGAAAGAGAATTGAAGGAAGAGCTAGAACAGCAGCAGCACGCGGCGGGGAGAAGGGTAGACAAATCAGAGCGCATGAGGGAGCAGAGGATGGGAGGAGAGAGACGAAGCGCTGAGTGGTGGGTGCAGACGCAGCAGCAGAGGGAAGAGGCAGGAGGAGGGGAAAGGAGGAGGCGGAGAGGAGAAAAGAAGAGGCGGGAATGAATAAGGGAGATTGGAAGTCAAAACCACTATCAGGTTCCACTCACAGCAAGCCACGACACGAAGGGCTGACAGGTGCGGGTGGAAGAAGCAGCAGAGGGAGGAGGCAGGAGGAGTGGGTAGGAGGAGGTGGGAGAGGCATGGAAGCTGTTACTGCTGCCGCCCCTGCCACCCGCCTCCATCCCTCTGATACCTCCTCCTCCTCCTCTTGCTCCCCTGAATGCACTGTCCACGTCAGCACCACCACCCATGCGAGTGTCCATGTCACTGTCCACGTCAGCAGCGCCAGGTGTGTGGTCGGGGGGGAAACAGAGGCGGAGGAGGTCCCAGACGGCTGCCAGCTCACCCTGGGTGATGCCACGTGGCGCAGACTGGTTGGTTGATGGGTTGGCAGGCAGGGGGGTAGCGGAGGGGGGGGGGGACAATAAGAAAAGGCAGAGAGGCAAACGAAATCGAAAACGTTGCAGCGAATTACACGCCCTATGTGCGACTTTTGAGCACCACAAAAGGCGCCCATAAGCATGCTTAATACACCTCACCTTATCCTGCCAGCTGTCCTCGGCATCTATCCACGCAAACAGCTCAACGGCTAAGATCCAATGGGAGAGCGCTTCATCATGCTTCGTATTCTAAGGCGCCTCAAAATACACCCCAAAGGGAGAGCGCTTCATCATGATTCTCAAATGACTCTCACAACATCTCTCATCCCCCCCTAAGTTGGGCACTTACGTTTTTCGAGGTCTCGTAAACGTCAATTTCGCTAAATTTTACGTTTTCGTTTACGAACGTTAACTTTCGCGTAAGTCTTTCGAGTCCGTGAAAGTTTCAGATTCAGCGTTGACTAGTAGGAAAGGAATACGATAGGATATGAACGAGCTGGTAGGTTGACGTCGAACAAGATAGCAAATTAAGGAATTAGGTGGGAGGGAGATGACCGTGTTGTGTTAGGGAGGGGGAGCTGGGGGGAGGGGAGGGGGAAGGGGAGGAGGAGGAGAAGGAGGATGAGGAGGAGGAGGAGGAGGAGGAGGAGGAGGAGGAGGAGGAGGAGGAGGAGGAGGAGGAGGAGGAGGAGGAGGAGGAGGAGGATTTGATGTTTAGGGTATTACTGTTTCTTCAACATTGACATGATGCCTACAGAATGAGTCTCCCTAGTACTCTGGTAATGTTTTTCCTCGGGCAGACCTAAAAAAGTTTTCAGGTGACCGTAAACGTAAGGCCGAATCCAGGCAACTGTTCGTAAACGTAAAAAACGTCGTAAATAAACGAAAACGTAACAGACCGTAAACGTAAGATCCAACTTAGATCCCCCCCCCCAACCCACCCACCTCGTCCTCCCACTCCTGCTCCTCAGCGTCTATCGCTGCAAACGGTTCAGCAGCGGAGATCCCCAGGGACTGTGATTCTCAAAAACACTTGAGCACCCACCCACCTCATCCTCCCAATCCTGCTCCTCAGTGTCTATCGCTGCAAACGGGTCAGAGGCGGAGATCCCAAGGGAGTGGGGAGAGGCGCGCGCAGCTGCCAGCGTGGACTGGGCGGACGGCGGAGAGAGGAGCCTGCTGACGTGGCGAGACCACCTGCTGACGTGTTGCCAACTGGAGGAGCGACACAAGGATGAGAACGGAAACTTTTTTCTCCCTCTCTCGAAGGAACTACATTTTGAGGGAAAGAAAGGAAGAAACAACTTTTGAAAGTTCATTTGACAACATGCCATTTATACAATTGAAACAATATGTATGGCATGCCGAGAATGGAAAGCTAATTGAAGTGACGTTTACGACTCAATGTCTCAACTCAAGGGTGGTTCATGTCATGTCACTGCACCAGGCTGAACCCCTCCCCCTCCCCCTCCCCCTCCCCCTCCCCCTCCCCCTCCCCCTCCCCCTCCCCCTCCCCCTATCCCCTCCCTCGCCCCACCCCCTTAACCTTTGAGGCGCATCAAGAGTAAAAAACTTAGCCATACGCGCTTCGAGACAGTCTCAACACACGACCTACCTCTCGCGCCGCTCGTCGATTTCCGCGTCTTCCGCTTCCTCCGCCATTTCCACCGCAATCGCCGCCTGCAGTCGCCCGTACAACGACGACGCCCCCGCTGCGATCTGCCGGTGGAACGATGACGTGTCAGCCCACGTCACGCTGACAATTGCCGACCCGCGTCCCGCCACGTCATCATGCCGGTCGTCCGACCTTCCTTGAAACGCGCCGTCGGACGCGGCGACAGATGCGGCCGGAGCGCAGATCAGAAGCTCGTTGCCCAATCCCCACTCGATCTCGACGGGGAATGCGGCGGGAAAGGAGGATGACGGCTCGGTTTGGAGGAATCCAGGGCGGTACTGCCCTAACGGCCCCACCATATTCGCCTTCTACGCCAGCCAAGTCAGAGGCTCTGGCTTTATATCGAAAGGGTCACGCGGGGCTCGTTATAAGCAAGACGAAGGTGGGAGTACACGGGAGATTCTGTTCGCCGTGCTACAAACAAATGCGCTGGAGGCGAACAAACGGGAGCTTGGAGGGAATGACAGTGAAAACGGTCTCCGATATAAAAGCTTCGTTTTGAAAGTAGCAGCATATTTTCATGGAGTGGTCTTTGCAAAGCAGTATATGAGCATGCATATACATATATATGGGCTGCTCTATCTATTATCACGAGATCCTTTCGGAAAAGTTTCGCCTGGCTGCTATAGAGAAGTTATTAACATTTCAATAATGTTGAGATCATCATGTATTTGAGCCCTCCTTAGAAATTTCCTTCGAGATTCACTACACCAAAGGAAATTTCACTTCTAAGAGTGTGTTCCTACGGCCTCATATCAGGCCAACCTTGTATCAGGAATGCACAAAACACTTCAATCTCGGCTTCATTGGATTGTTTATTTTCTATTTCCTGATTTGATGCTCGACAAAAACTGAAGGGTGATTTCCGCATCCCTGAACCCAACAGAACAAGAATCGTCTAGGTAACTTATAGCTCCTCCGCTTCTCCATCCCTCCCCTCCATTCCTCCCACCCCTCCTTTCCCATCCCTCTCCCCCCAACATAATTCCGCACCTGCAAGTTATGGTAGCTTAAAGCCCCTCCTCTTCTTCCCGTTCCTCCCCTCTTCCCTCGTCTCGTCCCTCTCCTCCCTCCTCCACCTTCCCTCCCTCATTCCCTTCTTCCCGCACATACCTCCTCCTCTGCGGGCTATAAACGGAGAACTCCCCAAACTGCCGTCTCCCCAGGTGCTGCACGTCCCACCCGGGCGGCAGGAAGCGCGGCCGTAGCGCCGTTACAAACACCTCCCTCCACTGCTGCGTGAACTCCCTTATCCCCGCCTCCCCCACCCCCTCCAGCAGCAGTGCTACAACCTTGGTTCCGTGCTCCCAATGGCCCCGAAGTGGGACTGGCTCGATGGTGGGGGTTGCAGAGAGGTTGAGTGCGGTGAGGTCAGGTGCTGCTAGGCCCAGGCTCTCCTCGTCTTGAGCCTTGCCAGATTGGTCGCTCTCACTCACTTCCTTGCTCACTCCCTCAAACGTTTCCTCACTTACTCCCTCACTCACACCATCCTTTCCCCCATCGCACAGGCCCTCTGCCCCCTCTCCCTCTCCCGTTCCCCCTCCTTCTCTCCCTCCACCCAGCCCAGCTAACGCTTTCTGTAGAGCCTCCCTTTGGCCCACAACAGGCAGCCCTTTTCTTTTTCCTGCCCGCACTCTGGTCTTTCACGGGCAGCAGCAGCTCACAGAGCTTGCTTTCGGGCAGCGATACCCTGTGCCGTAAAACCGCCACTGCTGACCGGGCAGCATCATTCAAAAGAAACGCTGGCTGTACTCTCGCATCCCTTCCCCCTTTCTGCTCACCATTCGCACTCCCCTCACCCTCCATCTCCCCACCTCCCTCCTCCTCCCTACCTTCTGCATTCTCCTCCTCTCCCACCCCTTCTCCCCCCTCCTCGCCCCCACCCTCACCCGACCCTCCGCCGAACCTCCGATCCAGCGGCGACAGCAGCAACGGAACCCCGAACCTCCACGCGACCTCCCTCTTGAAAATCTCTGCTGCACGATGTGCCACGTCATGGCAATCAACGCACAGCAGCACGATATCATGGCTCCGGTGCGACTTCAGATGCTTGAGAAACGCGTGGCGGTAGCAGGAGGGCACGAGGCGGTAGCGCAGGTAGTGGGTGGATTCGCCACACGAGACGCAGCGGTTGGACTTGGATTGAATGTACAACTCGTTTTCATCGTCCTCTGGAGGGCCCTTGGGTTGGAAGAGCAGCCGGACGGATAGAGGCCAGGCGAGGTTCGGGGGGAGTGGGGTGGGTGGAAGGTCTGTTGCTGTCGGGGCAGTGGTATCAGCAGTGCAAGCAGCAGTAGCACCTTCTGCAGTAGCACCATCAGCAGCACCATCAGCAGCACCATCAGCAGCACCATTAGCAGCGGCAGCAGCACCGTCAGCAGCAGCACCACCAGCTTCAGCAGAGGCATTCTCAGCACCTGTAGCATTCTCAGCAACTGCATCATCTGTAGCAGCAGCAGCCTCTGTAGCAGCTGCATCACTACCATCATCATCAGCAGCAGCAGATCCCACTTTCGCTTCTCCCTTCGCCCCCAACCCTGTCTCCTCAGCCCCCTGCAGTGATGGCAGCATGTCAACAGTCACATACTCAGCCAAACCTCTTCCCACATACCACTCCAGCTTCCGCTTATCACAGAAGCACAGCAACCGCCCATCCCTGCTATAGATTTGGCAGTTCTCATATACGGGACCCTGGCAGGAGAATTTCTTTATGAAGTTTGCCCGAGCTTGATTCGGGTCGCGCGCCCGCTGCCACCGCTTGGGCAGCCTTTTGGTTCGGCCGGTGGTGGTGGTGAGGGTGGTTGGGATGCTGGTGGGATGAATCAGAAGGCACGGCTCCCCCTTCCTCCGCAGTAGCACCACTGGCACCAGCGCCAGCACCAGCAGCAGAAGCAGCGGTAGCGGCAGCAGCGGAGAGGTTGCCTGAGACGGCGGCAGCAGCAGTGAGAGCGACTGCTTCTTCTAGCCACGCCTCCTGCACTGCTGCTGGCGCCCTCTGCTGAATGACCACCGGGGCGAGGAGGAACGAGATCTCGGCCAGTCTGGCTTGCACTGCTGCCACTGCCCTTTCAGCCCCCCCAATCACTGCTGCTGCCGTCTCGTTTCGCACTGCTACTCCAAATGTGCCAAGCACCCCCTCGTCGCCACCTCTCACGTCGCGACACGCGGCAGTGATCAGCGCAACCAGCTCGGGAGATCGACGGACGAGAGGAGGCGAGGAGGAAGGGGAGGCGGGCTGAGATGGAGTAGCTTGTTGTTCTGCTACTGCTGCTGGCAAGGCAGCAGCAGCGGAACAAGCTCTTTCTGTTGACTCAAAGGTTCCACTCTCCCCTCCACTCCCCCCTCCTTGAATAGGCCGAGGAGCGCCCTCTTCTCTCATAGAGGGCGGCATGAGAGCAGCAGCGGCTGCCATAGCTTTCCCCACGCACCCAATCAGCTCTTGACACGTGGCAGGCCGTAGGAGCGCCACGGCGACCACTGCAACGTCAGCAAGGAGGAACCGCAGGCTTTCGTCTTCTTCCCGCGCTACAGTGTCGCGCCATCTGGTTACCGCATCAAGCACGGCCCTCACTTCCCGTAACACCTGAGACCGATCCGACGTCTTCTGACCCGCTGACGTGGCAACAGCATCAGGCGCCAGCCGACACCTGAACCAGCAGAATCACCTGAATTTCCACCTGAAAGCGCAGCACCTCCTACATACCCACAGACGCCCAACAGTTGGCGGAAAAGTGCTGCCGCTGCTGCTGCTGCCGCCTCAGCACTCCCTCCCAACCCTCCAAGACCTCCATTCCCTTGTACTGCCACCACCTCCCCTTGCTCCCTCCTCTCTCTCACAACCTCCCCAACACTGCTCCTGTCAGCACCGGCGCTCCTCTCCCCCGGTTTTTCATACAGCTGTAGGCACAGCGCGTTCGACCTTCTCACTGCCTCCTCATTCTTGGATCCGCTGCTGTGTCCTGCCCTAGACCCTCGCCTGCCTCCACCCCCTGCTGCTGCTGCTGCTGCTCCTCCTCCTCCTCCTCCTCCTCCTCCTCCTCCTCCTCCTCCTCCTCCTCCTCCTGCTTCTCCCTTTCCGTTTGCAAATGCTCCTGTACCTCCCTCTCCCCCCTCTCCCCCTGTATCTGCCTGTACCAGCTCCCACCGTAGCCGGTCGGCGATGTACGGCAGGTAGTGCGAGTCCGTGCGCGCATAATGTAGCATCGCGGGCGGCAGCGGGCGGCGGCGCCAGTCGGCGATGTTAGAATTAGGCTGTCAACACTTTGTGTACTATATTCTATATCGCGTAGGTTATTTGTGGGTTGGGTGTAGTTTGTGATCCCAACCCTATCTGGTTGGGATTCCCTCGTAATCCTGCAAATCTGCCAACTCACCAATTGGAGATTTGCTAGGATTCCCATCCCATCCTTTCCCTAGCCTTGCCCATCCCAACATCGTTTGTACTTAAGGCCTAGTGCCTTCTTTCTTAATCAATCAGTTCAGTTCCAATTCCGTCATGGTATCGAGCTAGCACATTCCGCTCACGCGGAATCCGATCCTTGGCGTCGCGATCATTCTCTTCCTCTCGGCTATGGCGTTCTTGGTTCACACCTTCTTCGCTTAGCATTTTTTCGTCTTCACATCGTCGCACTGGTCAAAAGCGCTTTCCCGCTCCGTCTACGTGCATTTCCGATTTCCACGGCGGCACATTTCTCCGTCAATTTCCTTCATCGTAAGCTCTGAAATTTCAAATTTCCGTGGCAATTTTCTCACATTCGAAACTTCCAGCAGGTTTTCATCGGTGCAGCAGAGCAGGTTCAGCGGCGCAGCAGAGCAGGTTCAGCGGCGCAGCAGAGCAGGTCAGCGGCGTAGCAGAGCAGGTTCAGCGGCGCAGCGGAACAGGTTCATCGGCGCAGCAGAACAGGTTCAGCGGCGCAGCAGAGCAGGTTCAGCGGCGCAGCAGAGCAGGTTCAGCGGCGCAGCAGAGCAGGTTCAGCGGCGCAACAGAGCAGGTTCAGCGGCGCAGCAGAGCAGGTTCAGCGGCGCAGCAGCACAGGTCAGCGGGGCAGCGGAATAGGTCATCGGCGCAGTTGAAAAGGGGTCATCGGCGAAGCAGAGAAGCAGAACAGGAATCGCAATCTTATTGGCAAAATCGCACCTTTCCGCATTTCAGACTTCATCAATTTTCAAAATCGCCATTTCAAATCCACATTTTCGCTCTGCTTCGCCTCGCTTCGTATCGTTGACTTTAGCGCTGCGCTCCGCGCGAATGGCGACTTCAACTTCTACCCTCGTCGGAAACCTCATCATTCTCAACCTCGCTCCCAACGGCACGAGCACCAACTTTGGAGAATTGTGCTATGGGGTGGAGAAGCACCTCCTTAGCACGGAACTGAAAGGGATTTGCCTTAAGGACATCCTCCTCAACCGCGGCAAGGGAAAGATGCCTCTCCCTCCCGATCCCCTTGGCGAAGGCGCCACTGCCGCAGAGAAGGCCGATTTTGACGCTCAGACCACCAAGTACGAGACTGATTTTAGTGTGTGGGAGCAGGCAGATGCAGCAGTTATTAGGGTTTTCATCACCACCACTCCGGTTGAACTCGTCAAATCCTACCGCACCTTTCGCTCCGCTCATGCGATTTGGAAGTACCTCCAGGACCGTTTCCATGACAAGACAGCAGTGGGTGTTGCCATCCTCATCCCTCGAATGTTCCAGGTCCGCCTTGAGGAATGCCCTGGCATGGCAGATTTTGGAGGTGTGCGAGAGCGGGTGCGAGAAGCGATGGGTGAGGGAGGGAGCGAGGGAGAGGAGGAGATGGAGTATGGGTAGCGGAGGAGGCAGATTACATCTCTGAAATCCGCAACATCCATGAGGAACTCAAGGACATTGGGATCATTTTCCCCAAACAAGCACCTGCAGCTGGCCTACTTGTAGGACTGACCCCGGCCTACAATGACACCAGCTCCATGCTCAAGCAACTTCCCACCAAGGAACTCACCTTCGAAAAAGTCGCATCAGCTCTCCTTTCCGCCGAAAAGGACCTTGCAGCCCAAGCATCCGTCAATGCTGTGCGCTACACCCCTGGAATCCCATTCCGCTCCCAACAAGGACCAAGGCGCAACTCCTTTTCCCCCATGCCCCTACATCATTAGGAAAGGCCCACGTGCGGGGCAGAAATGCGGAGGCACCAACCACCCTGAGGCAACTTGCTTCAAGAAGCGAGATGATGAGTGGTACGACGTCCATGGTGTCTCCACCAACAAGCGCCCTCCCAACTGGGCCCCACCCCGTCGCGTGAACTATGTCGAGGCAGTGGAGGTGCCTAGTCCCTCAGTTGATAGCACCCCATCTGATATTCGCCTCAACCTGTTGTTCTCAGGTGCTGGTCTTATTAATGAGAAGGGGTCACAGTACATCGGGGTTTCAAACACACAAGGGATCGAGTTCATACTAGACAGTGGTGCCACCCACATAGTGCTCAAAGACCAAACCGCGTTCGTTCCTTACCAGGCTCCCATCCCACTCCTCGGAGCCGACTCTAGCTTCTCCATCCAATGCCATGGGTCCTCCACTGTTCCTTGTCCAGCATTTCCATCGGGCACAGTCACTGGCATCTGTGCCCCCACCCTCCGCCACAACCTCCTGGCACAAAGTGAAATCCAACAAGCAGGAGTCATCACCATCTTTCCCAATGATGTCGACTACTGTGACCTCTTTGACGCCAAAACCGGCATTCATCTAGCCCGCTTCACTCTCAATTCCAACAACCTATACACGCTCGTAGTACCTCCCATTCAAACGTGCTCCCTCACAAACCTCCCGTTACCTTCCCTTGACTCCTCCACCTGTCACTGCCGCCTCCTTTCCGACAAAACCATGCTCTTTCATCACTGCCTTGGCCACATCAACTTTCGCGCGCTTTCAGACCTTGCCACAAAACAACTCCTCCACGGGCTTCCAACCTCACTTCCCTCTCCTACCTCCACCCTAGGGCCGCCTTGCCTTGACTGTGCACAGAGCAAGCTTCGTGAACAGCCCCATCCCCCCATTGAGTCCATCTCCGCTGCACCTCTCGATTGCGTGCACATGGACCTTTGGGGCCCAGCTCCTGTTCGCTCTCGCGGTGGACACTTTTACTTCCTTGTCATTATTGATGACTACTCCCGCTATGTGTCTGTCCACCTTCTCTCCTCCAAATCCGAAGCCCCAAGCGTAATCATTGAATGGGCGAAGCAGGCTCATAAACACTTCAAAACCACCATCAAGGTCCTTCACTCTGACGGCGGCGGTGAATTCCGCAACAACACTCTCAAAGCTTACTGCTCCACTGAGGGTATCCGTCAGACCTTCACTCTCCCAGACAGTCCCCAACAGAACGGTATTGCCAAAAGCCGGAACCGTACATTGGTGCAGATTGCTCGCTGCCTCCTCACGCACGCCTCCGCCCCTCCCTCTCTCTAGGGGTACGCCATGCTTCATGCTGCCGCCCTCCACAATCTCCATCCCCATCCTCATCACACCCACACCACCCCCGCTGAGCTATGGACGGGTCAAAAGCCATCCGTCCGCCCTCTTCGTGTATGGGGGTGCACTTCTTATGTCCTCCTCAACTCCCAAGCCCGTCGTGCGCCTGGCGGCAAACTTGATCCCAAAACGATCATGTGCGTATACCTCGGGCACAACTTAGACTCGCCAGACTATCTCTTCCTCCATCCTTCCACCAACAAGCTCTATCGCAGCCGGGACGTTTACTTTGATGAGTCCCACCCATTCTACCCCTCCTCCAAGGCTTCCCCCTCTCCTCCGCCTCCTTCTCTTACTTGGGCTGACTTTGACAGTCTCCCTCTTCGCGACACTCCATCTCCTCCTCTTCCCGCTCCCTCCACCATTTTTGATCCCCCATCACCCGCTTCCCCCTCCAGTACCACACAGTCTCCCTCGCTCCCTCCCTCCTCCGCTACCCATCCTCCATCTCCTCTCGCATCTCCTCCTACCGAGCCCGTTCCTCTCAAAACCTACCAACGCCGTCACCCAGCTCCTCCTCCTCCTGCTCCCACCCCTGATCCCGATCCTGTCTCCACTCTCCCTCCCACCCCCACCTCCCCTTCCGCTACGCCTACTCCGGCCCCACCTCCCTCACCCATCGCTTCTCGCACCCGCTCTCGCACACCTCCACAACCGTTCTCCCTTTCCGTTCGCGTCTCTCTCAATCCTCCTCCTGTCGGGGGTGATTATTCTCTCATGCCATCCCTCCTTGAAGACAGACATGAGGAGTTGATTGATATCGACTCAGCCATCCATGCACTATGCTCCCTCTTTCCAGACATCGCAGACTCTCCCACCCTCAATTTCTCCGACAACCCTTCCATCCCCACACCTCTCACCTATGCCGAAGCAGTCTCTGGTCCTCACGCCGCTCAGTGGATGGGGGCCATTGTCGCAGAATGTGAGGCCTTCATTCACACAGGAACTTTCACAGACGTCTCTCCTCCCTCCGGTGTTAACATTGTGAAGGGAAAATGGGTCTTTCGGGTGAAACAACTTCCAGGCGAATTTCCTGTCTTCAAAGCCCGGTACTGTGCCAAGGGATTTACCCAAAAGCGTGGACTGGACTTCTTCGAGACATTCTCTCCCACCGCCAAACCTCCCACACCGCGCACTCTACTCGATGTCGCTGTTCGAGATGACATGGAGGTTGACTGCATGGATGTGTCTTCTGCGTTCCTGCAAGGGATCCTTCGAGAGGAAATCTATATGGAGCGGCCCGAAGGATTTCCAACTCCTTTTCCACCAGGCACTGTATGGAAGCTGAATCGGCCAGTGTATGGCCTCAAGCAAGCTCCCCGGGAATGGCACAACAAGCTAAAGAGCACCTTAGGGTCCCTCGACTTTCACCCATCCACCTCTGACCCCAGCCTCTTCATCCGAGCACGACCCTCCCGGTTCTTCATCCTCGTTTATGTCGATGACATGATCCTTGTCACCAAGGATCAGACTGAGCTGGCAGCAGTCAAAACCGCACTTGGTGAGAAGCTGGCCATGAAGGACCTTGGGAAGCTGACGAACTATTTGGGAATGGAAATCACACGTGATCGCACTGCCCGCACCATCACCCTTTCGCAGAAGTTTTACATCAACAACGTTCTGACGAGGTTCCAGATGCAGGAAGCAGCATCAATGCCCACCCCACTCTCTCTGCAACACCAACTCACTGCACCCTCCGTTCCCTCACCTGAGCCCTGTGACGAGCCTTACCCCGAGCTTGTGGGATCCCTCATGTACGCGATGATGTGCACTCGACCACACTTAGCCTATCCAGTCAGTGTACTGTCCCACTACGTTGCACCTGGTCGCTTCACTCGCCACCACTGGTCTGCTGCCAAGCGGGTTCTTCGCTATCTCAAAGGCACACATGATTATGTGCTCACACTTGGCGGCACTTCCCCGGTTCGCCTTGAGGGGTACAGTGACTCATCCTATGCTGATGACCAGAGTGATCGGCGCTCGTCCCAAGGGTATTGCTTTACCCTTGGCAGTGGGGTTGTAAGTTGGCGCTCCACTCGGTCGTCCCCCGTCTCACTGTCGACCTGTGAGGCAGAGCTGTATGCCGGGACCATGGCTGCACAGGAGGCTCGTTGGCTCTCCTTCCTGCTGACAGAACTGGGGTATCCCCAACCAACCCCAACGCTTTGGTGTGACAACGAGAGCACCATTCATCTCACCAAAGACCCCGTTTTCCATGGCCGCACCAAGCACATTGAAGTCCGTCACTACTTTCTTCGGGAGCTGGTGCAGCGCGAGCAGCTGAAGGCTGAACACATTGCCTCCGACTGCAACCTTGCTGACTTGTTTACCAAGTCGCTTGTTCGCTAGGATCATTATCGCCTCCTCTCGGCCATGGGTGTTGGGCCTCCTTGTGGCTGATGTGTTGCAGCCTAGGGGGTGTGTTAGAATTAGGCTGTCAACACTTTGTGTACTATATTCTATATCGCGTAGGTTATTTGTGGGTTGGGTGTAGTTTGTGATCCCAACCCTATCTGGTTGGGATTCCCTTGTAATCCTGCAAATCTGCCAACTCACCAATTGGAGATTTGCTAGGATTCCCATCCCATCCTTTCCCTAGCCTTGCCCATCCCAACCTCGTTTGTACTTAAGGCCTAGTGCCTTCTTTCTTAATCAATCAGTTCAGTTCCAATTCCGTCAGGCGAGCTGCAGGCGCTTGTCGGTGCTGACGTGGCAGTAGTGGTCCAGGAGAAACGCGAGCGAGCGGTACGGCTTGCTGAGAACCGAGCAGGCCTGCACATGAGAAAAAGGACATAAAAGAACAAAAAAGTGCAAAAGAAAAGAAAGAAGAAAAAAAAGGTTAACTTCGTGAATCTGGAAGTTTCTTTGTAGCCAGAGCACATCGGAGTGTGTGCACAAGGCCACTGCGATCCATTTAATAGTTTAATCAGTGGTCCAGGAGGAACGCGAGCGAGCGGTATGGCTTGTTGAGGACCGAGCACGTTTGCAGAAAGGGAGCAAAAAGAAAAGGAGGGAAAGGCGGCCGCAATGAAGGAGAAAAAGACACAAGCAGAGTAGCGCTTTGGTGTGGTGTGGTGCGGTGTGAAGAGGTTGACTTGACTGTATAGATGTGTCAAACAGGCTCAAACAGTGTAGATGTGCAAGTCCTGTTGCAGCCTCGCACACACCGTCGTGCAAATGCTGCTTTGTGATGCCATGCCACGTGGCACATGCTTGAAAACACAAGGTTTTGCACATGCGTGCTGACCCGTGCAGTGTCAAACAGGTTGACGGTGTAGATGTGCAAGTCCCGTTGCAGCCATAGCACGTCCGAGTCGGCTCCGTGGAACAGCTTCGTGACGGCCGGGTTGGCGAAGACAGGGCGGAGGGCATCCCCTATGTGGTCATGCAGCGCAATGGCGTCGATGATATAGTCCCTGCCGTCTCGAGTGGAGATCTGAGTCGGGGGATAGGGGGCAGAGGGTGCTTCATGGCCTGCTCTCCATTGAATGAAGAATCGCACATGGCGGTGTCAAAGGCAGGCGGAACAGAGCAGCTGGCAGGCGGAACAGAGCAGCTGGCAGGCGGAACAGAGCAGCTGGCAGGCGGAACAGAGCAGCTGGCAGGAGGTCACTCACGGAAGGAATGGGCCCACCCACCTGGATCAAGGCAGTGAAGCCGAGGAAGGAGCGGTGGCTGTGCTGCTCTGTGTCCACTGCAAATTCGTCCTGGGTTTCTAGAAGAGCTGCTAGGGATGCTAGCTGCTGCTTGGTGGATACCCAGTGGAAGGAGGAGGAGGGGAGTGCTTAAGAAGGGAGAGCCGACGAGGTTGTGACACCTGGGTCATTCAGAGCTGGTGGTGCTGTGGTGCCAGGTGGCAGCACGTGGTTGGGCGAAGGGGGATTCTGGATAAGGTGGCGGATCTCGTCGCCGTATGGATGTAGATCTCCTGGTTATCCAAACATGGGTGTAGAGGAGGGGAGGAAGGACGAATTAGACGCAACCTGAAAGAGGCGGATGTGTTTTGATATGAAACGCCACAGATCACTGGAAAGTCTTGGTATAATTGAAAGAAAAGAACTGGAAGCAAAAACAGGGTTGAGAAAACGCACCTGAATCCTCACTCTCGTCCTCATCCTCATTACAAGCCGATACAATTCGTTTCAGGTGCTGAAACGGAGCTCTTGAGTTATCCGCAAGAACCATACGAAACGCCCTCTGCGGCTTCTCATCTCCTTCTCCCTCCACTCCTTCCTCCTCCTCCTCCTCCTCCTCCTCCTCCTCCTCCTCCTCCTCCTCCTCCTCCCACTCATCCTCATCATCGATGTAACGCATGACCTACTCTGCCTAATCTACGGCTAACTTCCTAAGTCAAACATCGAGAGACTTCCTCGATGAGAAATGACGTGAAGGAAATTGGGAAGGTTGAGTTGGAGAAGAACATTGCTTTGGTTTTCCCAACCCTCAACTTGGAGGCTTGGGACTTTCCAACCCAACAAATGTGAAGGTTGGGAAGTTTTCCAACCCAACCAAATGAATGTGCAAGGTTGGATTTCCAACCAATGGGAAGTTGACAGTTGTTGTTACAATCCACACAAAGTTTAAAACAACCATACAATTGTGCTAAGTTGGGTTTTCCCCAACCAAACTAAAGTGCCACATAGGCTCCAAGCCTATTAGCTCCCCAACCATGGAAGCCATGGTTGGGAAGAGCCCCAAGGGGTATGATGGAAGGGGTTGGAGCTTTCAAGCTCATTCCTACTTCCCAACTCCAACTTCCCAACTCCAACTTACCAACTTGGAAATGGGATCTCTCTAAGTTACTTTGGCTCTCCTAACAAGCCCTCCTACACAACTAGACTTGTGTTATTTTCAAGGATAAGCTCTACAAGAAGCTACTTATCTACCCAAGTTTCTTCAAGAGTTACAACTTCTCCTCTCAAGATCCTTTAAGCTTAGGCTAAGGCTTGATTATCCCTTGGTGGGATTAATTAGATAATTTCAAGCATTGTAACTTTGATTTTATATAAATTGTCAAGGAGGATTTACATTGGACCCGCGGTTGCCTGTTGTTATAAGGGCCGTGGTTGTTACAATCGAATTCCTCACTGTTTTCTTCTCCTGCCACGTGGAACTGTTCTTCTCCTCCATCTGCCCGGCGACCTCCTCCTCCTGATCTTTTTCAGCTTCCCGGTTCCGCATCTCACGCCGCATTCGCCGCTATCTACCCGCTTCCCGAACCACCAGCTGCCGCTCCAGCTTTGTACCGCCAGACGCGCCGTCGGATGCGCCGTAAGATGCGCTGGACCATCGAATAGCCACCCAGTGTAGTGCGACAACGGAAGTTGCGACAACGACTGCGACGAAAAGCGGCGACACCTTCCCGCCGGCGACATCCTTTAATGTCGGCAGGCTCATTGCTGACGGCAAGTTTGTAAATGAACTTCAACCAGATACATAAAAACAATAAGAACTGCTGCTTCTGAAGAAAAAAACGACTTTCTGAAGGAAGGGTAGGAGGACGAATATGCTATTTCCGCACACCGCGCTTTTCACCTCAATTCACACCACGTTGAAAGGTTTTTGGATTTGGACAAATATGCTTGGCAACACTGCATGAGGATTTGGGCCTTCAGGTTAATCAGAACGGTTGAGTACGACGCTGTGCAACGCAATGCGGTAAGTACTTCACCGCTTTGAATCGCAACTCACTTCCCGATCGATGACCTCAACTGAACAGGCAGCAAGCTGAAGTGGTGAATTGCGATACATCTGTCAGAGTGAATTCCAGATATTGCGGGACAGCAAGACTTATGAACACGAAACAACTGCCGTTGACTCTGCAGCAATACGCGCTTTGAAGTTCTCCGCTGCAGGATTAGCCTAATTGGATGCGTACAGATATAACAACTGGGTTCAAACTCACAAACACACAGAGAATGCTAGCAACTGTTACGGAATGATACAGAGAGTAAATGGTAGAATCCAAACCGCAACCCCATCAGATCCCTTTTCTTCTCCCAAACTCCTCTGAAGTGACCACTTCCCACCCCTCGCCATCCTCGTCAAACGCCAGGACCAACGTGTGGAACTTAATCAAACTCGTCCTGTGTCCCACACTGACAAACGACTTCACCCTCTCCCGCATCATCCCATACAGCCGCGCCTCATTCGCCCCGTCCAACGCACTCGTCGCCTCGTCCAAAAACGCCATGTACGGCCGCTGCAGAAGAAGACGAGCGAACGCCACGCGCTGCTGCTCCCCCATAGAAAGCATGTCAGAATAGTCACATTCCACAGCGAGCCCCCCCACCCGCTCAGCCAAATCCGGAAGTGAAACCTCCTGAAGCGCATGCAACAGCTCTTTATCAGAAAAATCCCCCCTCACACTCCCCCCTCCCTCCTCACCGCTGCTCCCCTCTCCCTCCAACCCTCCGCCTCCTCCCCCTCCCCCGCCCTCTCCCCCTCCACCTCCCTCGAGAGCATTTCCGGGGAAAACCAGCTGGTCCCGGAGTGTCCCGAGTGGCATGTACGGCTTCTGGGGCAGGAAAAAAGTTTTCCCGGGCGGCGGAGACTCGATGGTTCCCTCTCCGAATTTCCACAGGCCGGCAATGGCTCGCAGGAGGGACGATTTTCCGCAGCCGGAAGGCCCCATGACGAGGAGGGAGGCGCCGGGGGGGAGGGAGAAGGAGAGGGAGGAGGGGTAGAGCGTGTGGCGGAGGTTGGGGGTGCGGATGATGACAGAGGAGAGTGTGAGGCACGGGCCTTCTATGCGCTGAATGCGACCTGGGGCGGAGGGAAGTGAGGGCACGAGGGGGGTCAGAGGGGCAAGGGTTGAATTGGAGGTTGGGGGTGCGGATGATGACAGAGGAGAGTGTGAGGCACGGGCCTTCTATGCGCTGAATGCGACCTGGGGCGGAGGGAAGTGAGGGCACGAGGGGGGTCAGAGGGGCAAGGGTTGAATTGGAGGTTGGGGGTGCGGATGATGACAGAGGAGAGTGTGAGGCACGGGCCTTCTATGCGCTGAATGCGACCTGGTGTGGGGCAATGGGGAGGGGAGAAAGGGGGAGAAGGGGGATGATTGCAATTGTCAGAGGGGTAAGGATTGTCCCTGAGTTGAGGAGTGAGGGCATGGGAGGGGAGGGCAACAAAGGATGAGGTACGATGAGCAACCAATAGAGGGTAACGGTTATGTTGGGATTTGGGAATTGGGGATTCGGAGAGTGGGCGTGATGATTGGGGCAGGGCATGTGGACTGGAAGTGGGGATTGGGGATAAATGTGTACCTGTTGCAGTGGTGCATTCAATAACAGCAGCTTCTCTTTCAGCAGCAGCAGCAGCACCGCCACCACCTGTGCTTCCCCCCATAGCAGTCAACTCCAGCAGCGGGGCACCCTCCCCATGGGAACCACCTGGCAAAACACCCGAAGCAACAGAGCCTGCCGATGCCTCTGCTGCTGACATGAGAGCAGGTACGGATTCAGAAGTGTGACGAGTGGCAAGCCTTTGTCCCGTGAGGGTGGGGGCGAGGGAGGAGGAGGAAGAGGGGCCGGTGTGGGAGGGCTGGAGAGAGAGGGAATGACCAAGAGCGAGAGAGTGAGCGGAGGTGGAGGAGGAATGAGAGGAGGAATCTTCGGTGGTTGATTTAGTGTGAGAGGAGTGAGAGGGATGAGAAGAAGAGTTAGGGGGGTGCGAGGGGGCGTGGGAGTGGGCGTGGGAGAAGAGCTTGCTAGAGTCATCATCTGCTGCGAAGTCGGAGAGGGAGGCGAGTAGACTCTCCAGACGCTCTGTCTCCGCTGCCAGCTCGCTGGGAGTGAGACAGGGAGTGACGGGGGTGGGAGGGGGCGTGGGGGTGGGCATGGGAAGGGGCGTGGGAGAAGAGCTTGCTGGAGTCATCATCTGCTGCAAAGTCGGAGAGAGAGGAGAGTAGGCTTTCCAGACGCTCTCCGCTGCTAGCTCGCTGTGTGTGGAGGAAGGGAGAGGGGGAAGGGGAAGGAAAGGGAGGCGGGGTGGGAGAAGGCTCTCCAGACGCTCTGTCTCTGCTGCGAGCTCACTGTGATTGAGGTTGGGGGTGGGGGAGGCAGGGAGGCGGAAGGGGAGGAATCAGATGGAATGAAAGGAAATGGCTTATGGAGGGAAAGACGAGAGTAGGCTGTCCAGACGCTCACTGGGAGTGAGTGGCAAGGGAAAGAAGGGCAAAGAGAGTGGCAGGAACAAGGGGCATGTGACAACGACGGGTGTCAATGACAGTACGGTGGGGGCGCCGAGAAGAGAACAAGCCACCTGAGATACCAACCCAGAGTGAAATCTTAAATATTCACCTGAAGAAACACCTGATCGAGTAGAATTGCACAACGAAAAGAGGGCAATTTATTGAACACCTGGAAATGGCAAATTGTTACAATATGCATGTAGATCAATACGTGAGAAGATATGAAGATTCAACGTTCACCTGGAGGTACCTGAACAAACAACAGAACAGACACCTGAGGATTCACCTGAACGCGTGAAAGTGCATGACAATGACACTGAGTGCCTTGTAGACCGTGTGAAACGCATAGCTGGCCTGAGAGATCACCCCAAACTCAACCTGGCGAGAGAGAAGTGCCGGAGAGAAGGGATGACGGGAAGAGAAAGAGAAAGAGAAACAGAAAGAGGGAGAGGGGGGGAGAGGGAGAGGAAGAGGAGCACCTGAAGGAGTCGCTTTTGTGAGCTCTCAAAAGTGTCCCAACCAATATAGCACCTGAAGGAGGTGAAGTTGAGAACAATGACTGTGAGCGCGCGGTAGATGGTGCTGAAAGCGTAGCCCGCCTGCGCTATCACGCCAAACTCGACCTGGATGGGTGAGAGGGGCGGAAGAAGGGGCGGAGAGGGGTGGAGAGGGGAGGCGAGGGGTGGAGAGGGGAGGCGAGGGGTGGAGAGGGGTGGAGAGAGGGTTAGCCCAGCCCCCACCTGAAGGAGTTGAAGTTGAGGACAATGACTGAGAGAGCGCGGTAGATGGTGCTGAAGGCATAGCTGGCCTGCGCTATCACGCCAAACTCGAACTGGATGGGGGGAGGGGAATGAGCGGGAGAAGGGGTGGAGAGGGGCGGAGAGGGGTGTAGAGGGGTGGAAAGAGAGTGAGCCCAGCCCACCTGAAGGAGGTGAAGTTGAGGACTAGGACTCTGAGTGCGCGGTAGATGGTGCTGAAGACATAGCCCGCCTGTGACATCACCCCGAACTCGACCTGGCAGGGGGGATTAGGCAGGGGGTGGGCAGGTGTTTGAAGAAGTGTTTTGAGACACGTGTCTGCCTAATCCCCCCTGCCATGTGTTTTGAGACGTCTCAAAACACTTCTTCAAACATGTGGCAGGAGGGAGTAGGCAGGGGGTGGGCAGGTTGGAGGAGGGAGAGTGGGGTGGAAGGGGGGAGCGAGCGGTGCCCCAGGGAGAGGGGAAACTTACAGCTCCGGAGAAGTATCGCGGTGCCACGATGACAGCTTGCACGGAGACGGTGGCGAAGTCGCAGAGGTTGGTGAAGAAGGAGAGGTGTGAATTTTGAGACGTCTCAAAACTCTTCTTCAATCACGTTTTGAGACGTCTCAAAACTCTTCTTCAATCAAGGAGAGGTGTGAATGGAAGAGTACATGAAGCAACATGTAAATGGGACGGGAGGAGCAGCACTTACAGCTCTGGAGAAGTAGCATGGGGCGACGATGACAGCAGGGAGGGACGAAGGAGAGGTGGGTGGGAGTGAACGGAAAAGTGCATGAAGCAACAGGAAAACGGGATGGGAGGGGAGGCATTCACAGCTCCGGAGAAGTAGCGTGGGGCGACAATGACGGCAGGGACGAAGATGGTGGCGAAGTCGTAGAGGTTGGTGAATTGATAGATGGGTGAGAGGAGAGGCCACACGGGAGGGGCAGCACACTTACCGCCCCAGAGAAGTATCGCCGTGCCACGATGACTGCAGGGACAAAGATGGTGGCGAAGTCATAGAGGTTGGTGAAGGAGAGGTGGGTTAGCGAACAGGGCAAGAGCGGCACTGGGAGTGTGGCACTCACAGCGCCGGAGAAGTATCGCGGGGCCACAATGACCGCAGGGACGAAGATGGTGGCAAAGTCGTAGAGGTTGGTGAAGAAGGAGAGGTGGAACTGCAGCACGAGGCGGTTGCGCACGTTGAGGGCCACTCGGTGCAGGAAAGACTGGGAGAGTGGGAAAGGTGAGAAGGGGAGAACAAGAATGACAGAGGCTGGTGAAGAAGGAGAGGTGGAACTGCAGCACCAAACGATTACGCACGTTTAGAGCCACCCGGTGCAGGAAGGACTGGCGGGAACAAAGGGGCCGGGAGGGTGAGGGATACAAAGAAGAGGCTGCATTGAAGAAGGAGAGGTGAAAGTGCAGCACCAGAGGGTTGCGCACGTTCAGAGCTACCCGGTGCAGGAAGAATTGGGAGGGGCATGGAAGGGGCACAGGGCAAAGGTAAGGGAACGAGAATTGGCTGCATTGAAGGAGAGGTGAAAGTGCAGCACCTAAAGGTTGCGCATGTTCCGAGCGACGCCATGCAGGAAGGACTGGTGAGAAGAGCGTGGGACACAGCGTGATGGCCACTCAGTGAACGAAGCTACACACGTACCCAGCGCGGAGAAGAGAACGCTTCATTTACCCCATTGAAGCTAGCAGCCTACCACCCACCTTGGCCAAGGCCTCCTCCTTGACTTCTTCCCGGTAGAACGCGATTGACTTGACTCCCACGTTGCCCTTCTGAAGCACCTCGAACAAGGAAGGCTGTTTCCCTTACCCCTCTGCACCCACTCATCCACCTACCAACCTACCTACCACCCACCTTAGCCGAGGCCTCCTCCTTGACCTCCCCGCCGTAGAACGCGATCGACTCCACATTGTCCTTCCTGAGACACCTCAACGGGAAGAGGAAGCTTCCTCCTCCTCTGATACCTGAGTACCCACCTACCTACCTACTTATTCACCCACCCACCTTAGCTGACGCCTCCTCCTTGACCTCCCCACGGTAGAATGCGATTGACTCCACGTTGTCCTTCACTCGCACCAGGGAGTAACGCAGGTCTGCCTCCCGTTGAAAGCCCTGCAGGGAGAGACAGGGGCGGGGTGGGGTGGGGTGGGGTGTGGTGGGATGGGGTATGGTGGAGTGTGGTGCGATTGACTCCATGTTGTCCTTCACTCGCACCAGGGAGTACAGCAGATCTGCCTCGCGTTGAAAACCCTGGACAGGGGAAGATGGGATTGGGGAGCACTCTTCAATGGAAGTTATGGAACCACAGAAAGTGGCAGCATGTTGGCCTCATGAAAGCGACACCCCCCCCAAAACTTTTGAGACGTCTTAAAAGTCGTCTCACCAGTTGTCTACTTACACGCGTATTTTTATGGAACCAGAGAAAACGGCAGCATGTTGGCCAGGTGAGTCGCTTGTTGAGTCGACTCCCCCCAAAACTGTCCCCTTGCTGCTGCTAAGCCAACCCCACCCACCCCATCTGGAACTGCAGCCAGGTGAGTCGCTTGTTGAGCCAACTCAAATTGCTGCTTGCTTCTAAGCTAAGCCCACCGAACTCCACCTAAGCCCACCTAAGCCCACCTAACCTCACCTAACTCCACCTTAGCCCACCTAACTCCGCTTAACCCCGCCTAACCACACCTCACCTGGAACTGCAGCCAGGTGAGTCGCTTGCCAAACACTCTGACCACCACAAACGTGCCAGAGACCGCATAGGCCAGCAGAAACCAGACTAGCGGGGGGGAGATGTCCCTGTGGGGTGGGGAGGGAGGCAGAGGAAAAGGGCGGAAGGCGGGGGAGGGGTGATGGGGGTGGTGAACAGACGCTTCCCAAACACTCTGACCACCACAAATGTGCCAGAGACTGCATAGGCCAGCAGAAACCAGACTAGCGGGGGGGAGATGTCCCTGTGGGGGTGGGGGAGAAGGGGGGAAAAGGGATTGGAGACACATGCCTATCACTCGGACCATCACAAAGGTGTCTGACACTGCATAGGCCAGCAGAAACCAGACTAGCGGGGGTGAGATGTCCCTGTGGTGTGGGGGGGAAGGAGGGAATAGGGGGTGGGGGAGGGGCAGAGGTAAGGTGTGAACATGCACATGTCAAACACTCAGACCACCACCAACGTGCCAGACAGTCACTGCATGCATAGGCTAGCAAGAACCAGACTAGAAGGGGAGAGGTGTCCCTGTGGGATGGTGTGGTGGGTTGGGAGGTAAGAAACGAGAAAGGTGGGACATGGCGCATGGGACAAGACAAGGCACAGGGGACAAGGTGCATGGGACACATCCAATGCAGACAAGGTGCATGGGACAAGGTGCATGGGACATCGCGCTTGGGACATGGGGAATAAGACACAGGGTTCTGGCATGAGGTGCAGAACAGAACATGTACAGCCTCGTGCGAGACACAGGATTGTGGAGAAGATGAGAGCGATTTGGGAGGAAAGTTTAGCAACTGATGCCAGTTGAAGCTTTCCAGAGCACGTATGCAATGTTTGTTTTGTGGTAATATACTAGAAAACAGATTCAATCATATTCGAAGCTTACCAGAGCACATAGGCAAAGGCGACGAGGTTCATCATCTTCTCTATCAGAGTGATGATAATCTGGGTGGGGGACAAGGGGAATGGGGGTGGAGGGGTAAATGAGGAGGAGATTGTTATGCTTGAGTTTCTAAGTTCTAAGGGCGTATCCCTGGGTGGTGGCAGGGCCACTGTAGATGGCAAGCGGGAAATGCGCATGCCACGAATCTATATATCGCGGGGTTGGTGTCAGAGAATTCGAGCGCAGGCGCCTGGCGAGTGATTGGTTGCGCGACACATTTGGGGCGCAAATTTCCTCGCACGACCCAACTCCAAATTCGTCATGCCGGTAAATTTCCCGGCCACAGCCCACAAGAGATTGCAGACCTCGTTTGAACGGCACGATTGCCTGCTTGGTTGGTGTGGTTCCTCAAATCATCTGGGGGTATAAACGGCAAGGCGACGTGAAAGGGGATCAGGTTGTCATGGGATTGGTGGATGCAATTCAGGGGCGATTGTCGCAAAATGTTTGTCGGTTGCCACGAACTTTGAAGCGCGCGCGACTCGGGACAATTGTTGGTGGCATGCGGGTTTCCCGCATGCCACCAACAGTGTCAGCTACAGTGGCCCTGCCACCACCCAGGGATACGCCCTTAGAGCTTGACGTCCCCGCAGATACGCTGGTCGAGGTTGTGGAATATCTCAGGTTGCCTAGAGCGATCTAGTACGACCAGCTTGCCTGGAACAACCAAGTTCTACAAACGAGACTCACATTGAGGGACGTCCTGACGACCAAGTGCTTCACATCCTCACAGATGCGCTGATCAGGTTAGTTGAGCGTCCAGTGTGTCTCGAACCAGCAGGTTTGCATTCAGCAGTCTAGAGCTGCGCTGCGGTGCACAGTGCACTGCACTGGACTCGCAGCAGTCTAGAGCTGCACTGGATATGCATGGCTTACATTCAGGGACGTCCGGACGAAGTGCTTCACGTCCTCGCAGATACGCTGGTCGGGGTTGTCCAGTTTCCCAGCCATCTTCAAATCCAGAAATGCGTGGTTGGCTGGCAATGGCACAGGAAAAAAATGCAAGAGATTTTGGGCGGGATGGAAAAAAGAGGCAGGTGGGCACGGGGGGGTCACGACCAGTGTGTGGTGTGGAGATGTACCTCCAAAAGGTTTGAATGGGCAGTGGACACCACATAAGAGAGTCGATGCAAGGCAGAGCTTGCTAAATCAGCACTTAGTTAAGTATCTCGAACCAGCTCTGACATGAAAGTGCCTTGAGAGCAGCACTTACCATAGTACCAAGGGAGCAGAACTCACCAAAGTATCAGGAGAGCAGCGCTTACCAAAGTATCTGGAGAGCAGCAGGTTGGTGAGCCACAGGCGCCACTCGAGGGACAGTAGTTCCTGATGTCCAAAAATAAGAGGACAGAGGGACAGGAGGACGACAGGGGAAAGGCAACAGAGGAACGGGCGGTTGGCATAAGGAACACCAGCGAGCAGAGATATGAAGGAACAGTGGGAGGGACAAAGGGACAGGGGCAAAGGGACAGGGGAGAGGGGAGAGGGGAGAGGGGAGAGGGGAGAGGGGAGAGGGGAGAGGGACAAAGGGACAGGAGACAGCCGACCAGGGCAAAGGGACAGGGGACAGGGGAGAGGGGACAAGGGGGAACAGGGGAAAGGGGAAAGGGAGGCATGAAGTGGACCCGGGGGAAGGAGGGGGTACAAGGGGGGGAAAGGGGGGTGGAGCTGGGGAACCGAAGGGAAACGTCTCAATCAACTACATGCTCTCTGGAGCGCTCACCTGCACATAGTTGAAGAATGCAAAGAAGGGCGCAGCAACGAGGATGATAACGATGAACGAGGCGACCCGTGGTAGAAGTCACTCACTCACTCGCTCACTCACTCGCTCACTCACTCGCTCACTCGCTCACCCACCCACTCACTCGCTCACTCAATCACCCACCCACTCACTCGCTCACCCACTCACCCACCCACTCACTCGCTCATTCACTCACCCACCCACCCACTCGCTCACTCACTCACCCACCAACTCACTCGCTCACTCACCCACCCACTCACTCACCCACTCACTCACCCACTCACCCACCCACTCACTCGCTCACTCACTCACCCACTCACTCACTCACCCACCCACTCACTCACTCACCCACTCACTCACTCACTCACTCACCCACTCACTCACTCACTCACTCACCTGGACGTAGTCGAAGAGAGCGAAGAAGGGCGCAGCGACGATTATGATAATTATAAACTTGAACACCGCATCATAAAAGTCGGTCTGCTTCTTGGCTGACAGCGCCGTGTTGAAATCCCTCTGCGTGTAAGAGATGACAACGTACATCTCTGGTGGGGATTGCGTAGGAAGAGGAGATAGGAGGGGAGGGGAAAGAAATTAGAGGAACGAGAGCGGTGTTAAAGTCCTTACTGCGTTACAGGAACAACCAGCCATCATGCTCCAACTTATGTAGTCCAAGCATGCCATAATAACTGGATTCTTAGCTCACAACTTCACCAAGATTCCGTACCACCGTTTTGAATATCACACTTAGCATCGGGCTCCACAACAACTGGAAGGCACAACCCTTTTTTTTGGAGGTTCATTTTGAGAATTCTCAGAATCAACCTCCGTACCACCATTTTGAATATCACACTGACCATTGGGTTCCATTGGAAGGCACAACCCCTCCACCCACCATACGACTAGAAGCCTACTACCCACCAGTGGTTTCCAGACTACAGGTGAGCAGAAGCACCATCAACCCGCGAGTTTTGAGGCGCCTCAAAAGCCCACAGCCCACCATACGCCTAGGAACCTACAACCTACCAGTGGTTCCTAGGCTGAAGATGAGCAGTAGCGCCATCGACCAGCGGGCCTTCTTACTGACAAAATTCAAAAGTGACTCAGATATAACTAGGAGCGTACAGTTCACCGTTTGACTACTCGCAGCGTACAACCTACCAGTGGTTCCGAGGCTGAAGATGAGCAGCAGCGCCATCAACCCACGAGTTTTGAGGCGCTTCAAAAGCAACCCTAAAACCTACCAGTGGTTCCGAGGCTGAAGATGAGCAGCAGCGCCATCAACCCGCGAGCCTTCCACTTGCAATCGCCTGTGAAGAACGCAAGAGCCACTCTAAAAAACCTCCTCAGCAGCGTCCAGCCGTTGATCTTCTTGTCCTGAATTCCCTGGCTCCCATCCGCACCGTCGAAACCAGCATTTCCGCTGATAACTTTCGCCGAGGTATCGTCGCTATCCGGGACCCCGTTCAGCAGAGTCTTCACACCACCGACTCCGTAGCGAAGGATCGCGACGAGATTGGTAACCAGGCGTTGTGACCAGCCACGCCGGGATGGAGCAGCGGAGGCATCAGGACTGTTGAATCCATGGTGACTGGAGGAGAAGCTTCGGTGACTGGAGCCGGACTTAAGAGGCACTTGGTCGGAACACACAGGATCGTCCGACGGATTTCGCTTCATTTTTACTCTATCTTCTAATATAAACTAGTCCCTTTTTAATCCGCGTTTAAGGCCGCCAGCTGAGTAGAAGCCTGAAGCGTAAACAACTCATGAAAATCTAGAAGTACCTTCAAAGATGGTTCAAATGCCGAACAACCAGATCATGAATATGAAACGGACTTCCTCATGAATCTATTTCGTCAAAGATTCAGCAGCACTGGCACAGAAGACCTGGGAGTGAGACTGTAAAAGGTGAAGGGTGAAAGCTTTGCCGGCAGCGCTGGTGAAAACGCATGAGGATCCGCCTTGGAATCACCAGGGAAGCGAACATCGGAAAAAACCCGGGACTGTGTTGGGGTGGGGTGGGGAAGTTGTGGTTGTTGGTGATACCGCCGAAAATATCTCAGCGCGTTCACGTCGTCACCTGGGGGAGCTCGCTGCCCGCGGGCAAACAAAATAAACCCCAGAAGGGCATGCATCCGGTCAGGGAGGCTATCAGCCCTAAACACGGGGAGGCATGGCATGCCATCCGATGGGGTTTTAGTTTTCTGCCCGGGGCAGCAGGTCGTCAGGTCGTCACAGGTCGTCAGGCCTGACGACCCGTTTCCGTTTTCCGTCCACGTCGTAGATTGTAGATGTGTTGTTCCCAAACATGCTGTGGATCGAACGTGCTGTGGATCAGGGGTTCGCGACTGTACACGCGTCTCTGTAGTGATAGTTTTAGGGCGCGTAACCTTTGATCCTTTACCGTCAGAACATTATGCGAAAAGGGTATCCAGATTTCGTCAGGAAACGCATGATCTGCAATTCGATAACGAGCTTGAACGGTCCGGACCGGAAACACGAAATCTTTTCGCACATGGTCTGACCGAAAAAAAGTTACGCGCCCTTAGGTCATACGAACTCCAGTTGCAGACGTGTTGTCAGTCGCAGCCAATACTGAACACGCTCGGATCATCGCGGCTACGTACACGTGTAATCAGCACGGGCCATTCCTATCGCTGGGTGGTGATTTAGGGTGCAGATGTGTCCACAGTTGTTGCTCTGTCGAGTCAATGGCGAAGCGGTTACATTACCTTGCGAAGTTTTTGCGAGAACTGATATCGAAGTAACAAATGCCTATTGTTCGCTTGCGCTGTGATTGTAGATTGGATTAACTACATAAAACGGCTGTACAGTTCTTGAGCTGTATTCCGCAGCTAAGTATCCCGTTTGCTTACTAATTATAATTGTCAGTAATGTTTCAATAAAAACATTCATGCTTAACGGTTCGGAATTACAATAATCTCGCACAGCCAACTAATTGACGACATCACGCTTTATTAATGTAATAAATTAGCATTGCCGCTTAGCATTATGTCACTATACTAACACCCTCTCCAACCAGGGTTCTTGATAATACGATACAATTCCCTACGGCAATCCTGCGGGGAACACCTAAGACTCATACCCCTCTATCAAAATCTTCACGTTGGGGGACATCCTGAAGCCTGCGGGAGCAACCGGGTCCCATATCGTTGTGTCCCCGTTCTCATACGTCTCCCTAATCCAGGAGACAAAGTAACCAATCTTCACCTTGACAATCTGCTGGTTCACAGTCTCGGAACCGTCGAGTGAGGGATTCACTCGCCCTCTGGCATTTGCCAGAGGCCATTCCACCTGCATCAAGCAAGCATCAGAATGAGCCTACTTGTACAGGCGGTAATGAGCTTCAAATCGGGAAATGCGACAAACTCACCACATTCAATGCGTAGCCAACTTGCGGGAACTTAACCGCAATGGTTGTCGCCTTGTTGCTTCCGAAACCGCGCAGCATCACCAGTTCAAATGGACGGTTGGCAAACGGCCTACATGTTGTAGCGTTGAAGTGCCGTTGGAACCATAGGGGGTTGTTTAAAAGCAGGCATATTAAGGAGGAACAAACAATACAGGATAGAGGAAAGTCAGGTACAATGAAGAAATGCCGGGTTATGGAGGAACACAAAACAAGACACGCGTACCATGAAGGTAGAAGAGGGTCCACTCCGAAGGGGACCTGCTGCACTACGGCGCCACTCCCTCGTCCGCCAACTCTTTCCACTTACTCTCAAGGACGGACCTGCCCGAGCCGCGACCGTACGTCTTAATGTCGCCGTTGTAATTGCTCCGCCTATCTGACACATTGCCCATGGAAAAGTTTTCCTTTCCAGGGAACATGCAGATGACGTAGTAGAATACCTCCTTCCCCACGCCAGCTTCCGCGTACTTCTCTGCCATCATTTCTCTCAGCGCGGGCCACAGTGGGTAGAACTTCATCCTCCAGGCAGGCGCGGCAGTCGTCATGAACGTGAATGACTCGAGAGCTTTTTTCTGCAGTTAGGGGATGTCACAACATTATAGCTTATACTTTTGTGTAGGCTGTAGTGGGGTAGCCCATAAGGGGTACAACCCAATTAGGGTTAGTACTTGCACCCAACTGTTTCATAGTTCATTCATTCTCGTTCAATTTCACATGGTATAGAGCACGTTCCCTTGTGGGAACTGTTCCTAGGGCCCACCGTTTTTTTTTTCCTGCCCGGAGCGCGTTCAGCCTCTGCCCGAGTCGCGCTCCCCTCTCACGACCCCGTCGCGCCGCCCTTACGACCCCGTCGCGCCGCCTTAGCGGCCCCGTCGCGTCGCGCCTCCCTAGCGGCCCCGTCGAGTCGCCCTTGCGACCCCGTCGCGCCGCCCTCGCGGCCCCATCACGTCGCGCCGCCCTCGCGGCCGCGTCGCGCCGCCCTTGCGGCCCTTTCGCGCCGCCCTCGCGGCCTCTTCGAGCTGCCCTAGCGACCCCTTCAAGCCGCCCTCGGGGCCCCGTCGCCTACCCTTGCGGCCCCGGCGCCTACCCTCACGGCCCCGTCGCCTACCCTGCGGCCCCGTCGCCTACCCTGCTGGCCTCGGCGCCTACCCTGTGGCCCCGGCACCTACCCTGCGGCCCCGTCGCCGACCTTGCTGGCCCCGTCGCCTACCCTGCAGCCCCGGCGCCTATCCTGCGGCCCCGTCGCCTACCCCTGCGGCCCCGACGCCGCCCTTCCCGACCCCGGCGCCGCCCTTCCCGGCCCCGGCACCACCTCTGCTAGCCCCGTCGCCTACCCCTGCGGCCCCGGCACCGCCCTTCCCGGCCCCGGCGCCGCCCTTCCCGGCCCCGGCGCCGCCTCTGCTGGCCCCGTCGCCTACCCTGCGGCCCCGGCGCTACCCTTCCCGGCCCCGGCGCTGCCTCTACCGGCCCCGCCGCCGTCCCTACGCGGCCCCGCCGTCACCACCGAGCCGCCGGCGCCACCGACCTACTGCCGAGCCGCCCGAGCCACCTGAGCCGCCCGAGCCGCCGCGCCACCTGAGCCGCCCGAGCTGCCGGGTCGCTGAGCTGCCGAGCCGCCGTACCGCCGAGCCGCCGAGCCGCCAGCGCCACCGAGTCGCCGAGCCGCAGTTGCTGCCGAGCCGCCGAGCCGCCCAAGCCGCCGAGCCGCCGAGCCGCCCAAGCCGCCCTGTCTGGTAAGAGCAGCGCCTCTGTCACTGCACTGCCCTTACCCTACTGTTCGCGCTGCTAGTCTACTGCTGTCATGGCTACCCCTAGTGTCCTCGCTTTTGACGCTGAGAGTCGGGCCATTGACTTTGACGTCTGGGTAGATGACCTGCAGCTTTTCCTACAGTGCGATAGGGCAGACGCTCTCTCCCTCTTTGACCTCACCTCTGGTGCCTCTCCTGCCCCTGTTGCTGATGCTGACGCCACTGTTCGCTCACAGTGGGCCACACGCGATGCTGCTGCACGTCTTACTGTGCGTCGCCACCTGCCTACCTCTGAGCGTGCGCACTTTAGTCAGTACAAGAGTGGTCAGACCTTGTACGACGCTGTAGTTGCACGCTACTCCTCCCCTGCCACTGCTGCTCTGAGCCGCCTCATGCTACCGTACCTCTTCCCTGACCTTGCTGCCTTTCCCACAGTCGCTGACCTCATTACGCACCTCCGCACTAGTGACACTCGCTACCGCGCTGCGCTTCCTGATGAGTTCTGCGCCAAGAACCCACCCCCCCCATGTACATCACCCTCTTCTACATAGTCACCCGGCTCCTTGACTCCCTTCGCGTAGTCAGGGACCACTTCCTCTCAGTTTGCCCCACCACTCTCACCGTTGACCTCCTCGAGAAGGCCCTCCTAGCAGCAGAGAAGAGCATAGTAGCTGTAGGAGCCTCTCGTGGTGACCCTCGCACCCCCATCTTTGAGGGGTGTTCCCCCTCCCCCCATTTGCCCTCTGTTGCCTCTGCTACTGCGGCTGACCTCATTGGTCTTGAGTCGGTCGGTGCGGCGTCTACCCCTAGCGGGAGACGCCGCCCTGGCAAGGGCAAGGGGGGCAGGGGCGCTGGAGGAGCTAGCGGGGGCGGTGGAGGCGGCGGTGGAGGCGGCGGAGGGGGTGGGAGTGGCGGTGGGGGTGGTGGCGGGGGTGGAGGTGTCGGTGGCGGCAGTGGAGGCGGAGGCGGCAGCGGTGGTGGCGGTGGGAGCGGAGGTGGCAGCGGTGGAGGAGGCGGTGGCGGAGGAGGTGGAGCTGGTCGGGGTGGCGCTACGCAGAGGGTCGGCTCCGGTGGTGGTCAGCGCCAGCAGCAGCAGCAGCAGCAGCGCACTCGTGACATCCCCCCCCCTCAGCAGTTCCGTGAGTGGTACGCTGCATGCGAGCGGGGTGGGGGTACTGGTCCGTGCACCTACGTCCTACGCACAGGCGACCGTGCGGCTGAGTAGTGCGGGGGTGCGCACTCCACCCAGCGCTGCTTTGGCCGCCTGACGGACGCTTCGCGTCACCAGTTCCCGGAGGCCGCTGAGATCCCCCGCTGGGGCGAGCTGTCTAGGGCGGGAGTAGATGTCTTTGACCTTGACTTTGATGCTATTCTTGCTGCTATGTATGCTGTCACTATTAGTGATGAGGGTGACTGTGACCGGTGTTTTCCGCCCGACCCGGGCATTGAGACTGCTGCTCTAGGTATTGGTGAGGCTGCTGCTCTAGGTGCTAGCG